CACCACTTCAAAAACAAATCAAAACATGCTTTTAAAACAGTACGGGCATTACCATAAATTTACTTACCTCACTTGCATAAAACCGAGCACTCAATTCACGCACTAACTGACAGAACGATCGGGAACCTAATCAAAACACCTCATAATTAATACCGGACTATCACAAATTCACACGGAAATCATCATTAGGATTATTCCGAATCACAATGCTATTTCTATCACTTTCCACATGATCAAATATCTCCAAGATCATTCTCATATCACAAACTAATCATTTAAATTCCTGTTAATTGTTGGCCCTCGGGGTGTGAACAGTACCATGTGAACAGTACCTTGAACAGTAACCTCGACGTGAACAGTGACCCCGACTTTCACAAATTGGCCAAAACACTAACTAATCTCACGGGATTTCCCTCCAAAAATCACAGCAATTAATCAAGCTAATTTACACTTCAACCAAGCTTAAAACATGCTCAAAGGCTACCGGAATTTCCCCCATTTTTCTACCAAAATTCGGACGTCACACGGTAGCAAACTAATCAAGCTAATTCTACCTTAATCAAGCTTAACAACAATGGTTTAAGGCTGCCACATACCAGAATTTACAGTTGCAGAAACCGGACATGGCAGGGGGAAGAAGGCCGGCGGCAAATCTGCAGGGAACTCACGGGTTTCCCAAAAATTGAAGGAAATAAGAGCAATCAAAGTTAACCCAAGCCAATTCAAGCAAGAACAAAGGAATTAGGGGCTGCTCTTACCGAAAAAATGCCCAGAATTTGCACCCACAACAAGAGCAGCCGGCGGACAAAGGCAGAAGAGCAGAGCAGATCCGGCTTTTCCAGCAGGGGAGGGAAGATTTCTGGGTTCTAGGTGTGTTCTAGAGCAAGAAGGAAGGAGAAATCTCCAAGCTTTCTCACTAGTTTCTCAAAGGCTGGCTGGGTTCCCTTTCTTTTTTTCCTCTCGGGTTGCAGCGGGAAGACAAGAGCAGAAACGGGCTGGAGAAGAAAGAGGAAAAGGGAGAAAAGAAATAAGCCATCCTTATCCAAATTCTCCTCTTTTAAGTCCCTCGAGTTTGGGAATGTTGGCTATTAGGCCCAAAACAATATTTTCTCACAATCAAGTCCTTATCTTACACTTAAATATTCCCGAAAATTTGGGATATTACATCCATGGTCACATGAAAATTTTCTGGTTTGTTTATGAGATTTGAGATTGATTGTGAATTATGGATTTTTGGAAATCCTGCATGGTTTTGTCTCGGATATAGTCATGATTACTGACGCCCGCTAGTGGGAGCTGTAAACGCTAGCACATGTCGACATGTATTTCTGTAGAACCGGTTCGTCCTGCCAATGGGATAAAACATTGGCACTATTACTGACGCCTGCCAGTGGGAGTGTGTTAAACACTGGCACTATTACTGATGCTTGCCAGTGGGAGTGTGTTAAACACTGGCACCATTACTGACGCCTGCCAATGGGAGTGTGTTAAACACTGGCCATGACTTATAGATGAGACTACTGAACTGAGTTTTATTCTGGATGAACGGTTTGTCATGAATGCTTTGCAATTGAACTGAATCTGATTTTGTCACTTAGCGTTTTGGTTATATTAAACTGTTTATCTGGCATGCTTAAAAGTTTTACCCAAGGGCTATCCATATTTACTTACTGAGTTTATCTCATAGTTTTCCTTGTCCACCATTTTAGGAAGTGAAACCGAGGATGGGGAAACCGAGGGGAGTGACGAGTTAGAAGGTTAGCCATTTTGAGATTGACATAGATTTTAGAAATAAATCGTGGTATGGTAAACTCGACTTTATTGGAGATTTATGATATTGGAGCAAATTATAAATTTGATCTTGAGATTTTGTGGTATCGGATTGTGATTTGAATAAGTTCCGAGCCTTGTGCACTTGTGGGACCCGTCTCACGAGTGCACGGCGTCTGTCGCGCCTCGGATTTGGGTTCTGGGGCGTGACACTATTGAATTTGAGATTTTGAGAGACTTTTCTCTTTGGTTCGTTTCAGAACTTTACAGAACTTATCAAGATTATTCTTGTGGCGTTCTAACTTGACTTATCATTCTCGTTCTTAATCGTTCGAGGGTGTGGCGTCAACCAACTTTATGCCTCTGGTTCTTGTTGCGTCATAGACGGGTCAAGGTTTTTTTACCTTTGGTTCTTGTTGCGACATAAACAACGGGTCAAGGTCCTATTATAAACCTGATTTAGTTTTCCTGGAGTTTAGAAATCCCTTGTCGTGTTGTGGGTCTCATTGTTTTCTTTGGGGTTTTCATCAGTAGGGAAGGGAAGGAGAAAAGGAAAGAGAAAGAGAAAAAAAAAAGGAAAGTAAAGAAAAAAGAAAAAAAGAAATTTTTATTTATTAAATTATATTTTTGGTGCCAAGTCACAATATTTTGAAGTTTGAGGGTAAATTTAGTTCAAAAATGAAAGTTGAGGGATTGAATCGAGGATTTAACCTTTTTTTTTTCAAACCTTTAGTCAGTGGTGGGGCCCACAAATAAAATTGGTAGCAGGTAAACTTCCCGCTTATGGGGTTCCAAGTTGGCATGCCAAGTTGTCAAAAAAGTCTGAGTTGGCGCTGACATGTGCATACTTGACGGTGCTACACGTGACGCTCCGGCGTGAAATTTTGTCTCATTTCCTCAAACTCGAAAATATTGAGGGTAAAAATCCATGTATTGTAATATGGAGGGTAAAAACCCTCAAAATAAAAAAGTTAAGGGGCAAATGCGTACCTTTTGCCGTTTCATAATTACAAATCTCTCAAACATCACCTTCATTCAGCCCTTAGCCACACTCACCCTCATTCAACTTTATTGGTACACAATTTGCTCAGTCATTTGACCGTAGCAACTCGACTCACTCGGTTAAAAAACCGTTTCTACTTGGTTAAAAAACTGTTTCTACTCAGTTCAAAAATCGTTTCTACTCGGTTAAAAAACCGTTTCTTACTTGGTTCAAAAACCATTTCTCCCTCGGTTAAAAAACCATTTCTTGCTTGGTTCAAAAACCATTTTTACTTGGTTAAAAAACAGTTTCTTACTTGGTTCAAAAACCATTTCTCCCTCGGTTAAAAAACCTTTCTTGCTTGGTTCAAAAACCATTTCTACTTGGTTAAATAATCGTTTTTTACTTGGTTCAAAAACCATTTCTCCCTTGGTTAAAAAGCCGTTTCTTGCTTGGTTCAAAAACTATTTCTTGCTCGGTTAAAAAAATCATTTCTTGGTTAAAAAACCATTTTTTGCTTGGTTAAAAAATCATTTCTACTCAACTGGCTCGATCATTTCACCGTAGCCACTCAAAACTAGCTCGGTCGTTTAACCGTAGCAACTTGTTTTTACTCAGTTAAAAAAAAAACATTTCTTGCTTGGTTCAAAAACTATTTGCACTCGATTAGAAAACCGTTTCTTACCTAGTTCAAACACCATTTATGGCTTGGTTAAAAAACCGTTTCTTGGTTAAAAAACCATTTCTTGCTCGGTTAAAAATCGTTTCTGCTCAACTAGCAAGGTGTTTGACCATAGCCACTCAAAACTAGCTTGGTTGTTTGACCATAGCAACTTGTTGCTACTCAGTTAAAAAACCGTTTCTACTCAATTAAAAAACCGTTTCTTGCTTGGTTTAAAAATCATTTCTTGCTAAGTTAAAAAACCGTTTCTTGTTCAATTATAAAATCCATTTCTTGCTTAGTTATAAAACTGTTTCTTGCTCGGTTATAAAACCATTTCTACTCAACTAGCTCGGTTATACAACCGTTGCTAATCAACTTGCGGTTATAAAACCACTTTTACCTTTCTCGTTCGGTTTATCCGATCGTTGCGGTTTTCTAACCATTTCAACTCATTTGTTCGGTCAATTCGATCGTTGCGGTTTCTTAATCGTTTATCTCTTGTTTGATTTATCCAATCATTGCAATTTCTTAACCGTTTTATCTCATTTGTTCAGTCAATCCGATCGTTGCGGTTTCTTAACCGTTTTCTCTCATTCGTTCAGTCAATCCGATCATTGCGGTTTTTTAGCCGTTTTATCTCTTTCGTTTGATTAATCCAATCGTTACAATTTCCTAACCGTTTTTACTTTACTCATTCAATCATCCAATCGTTGTGGTTTCCTAACTGTTTTTGCTTTACTTGTTTGGTCATTCAACCAGTTTTACTTTATCTGTTTAGTTTATGAAAAGAAAAAAAAACAACCATTAAGAAATTTTCAGTTATTCTTGTTTTTTCTTTTCATTCTTAACAGAAAAAAAAAAGAAAAAGAAAATGGGGCAACTATTATAACTCAAATTTTTATCTAAAAAAATAAAAAATAAAAAATATAAAAATGTGAAAATTTCTCTTCGACTAATGTATCTTTATTTTGTTTCAAGTGCTACATGCAAAAGAAATTCAAGAAGAAATTGGAAAATTCAAGAACAAATGGAAAAGAAACTCAAGAAACGGGATTTTTGCGAAGAAAATTGGAAAAGGGTAATGAAGGAAATTACGATGGGGTACTTAATTGAAGAGATGAAAAGTTGAAGGGTGAAATGCATTAAAGTTTATGTAATATCCCAAAATTTCTGATATTTTAGCATCTAGTTAAGGACTTAATTGTGAAGAAATAACATTGTTGAGCTTAATGGCAAAATGTTCAAATTTTGAGGGACTAAAAAGAGAAAGAGATTAGGATAAGGATGACTGATTTTTTTTTCTTTCTTTCTTCTTCCTTATCTGCGCGTCCTGCTCTTCTTCTTCTCCCCTGCAGCCGGCAAAGAGCCCCAGCCACTGACTGCACCTACCCTTGAGAACCGGTAAGAAAAACTTGATTTTTCCTTCCTTTTCTTGTTCAAGAACAAGATTTGGAGCCTTGAAATCTTCCCCCTTTGCAGAAGTTTCAGATCTGCTCTGCTTTGTTCCTTCCTTCTGTTGCTCTTGCTTTGTGGATGTGATTTTTCTGGTTTCTGGTAAGAGGAAATAGCCACTAATTCCTCTTTTCTCCTTTGATTTGGCTTGGGTTTACTCTAATTTCTTTTGGTTCTCCAATTTTTGGTAGATCCCGAACTTCCCTCTGCACTTCCCGTCGGCTCTCCCCCAAACCCGCCAACTCCGGCTTTGCTTGCTGAAATTTTGGTATAACAACTCCATCTATGTCCCAATTTACCCATTAGTTGTTGAATTTAGTCTAGTTAATTGCTGCTCTGTGTTGTCCGAATTTTTGCTAAAATAGGGTAGGAATTCCGGTAGCAATTAGGACAATTTAAGCATTAATTCAAGTGGAATTTATGTGATTGAGCGTTAATTAGCTACTGTGAGGTTTTGGAGAAAAATCCCGTAAAATTAGCTATTGTTTTGCAAATTTTGGAAGTTGCAGTTACTGTTCACGGCGTAGTTACTGTTTATGAGTACTGTTCACGCACTGATGGCCAACAATAGGAGGGTTTAAATTTTTATGAAATTGAAATGTCTGATTATATGGTTATTAATTCTGGAATATTTTGGTTAGGTTCTTGATTATTCTATCACCCTAGCACTTGGAGTGAGTTTTCTATCTTATACGATTGAGGTGAGTAAATTATGGTAATGCCCTCCAATTTTAAAGCACATTTTAGCTTGTTTTTGAAGTGGTGGCGGGACTAAACCCGTTTTACACAAGTATAATTGATTTGAAATGAAATTATTATTCTTTTTATTGATTTGAGCATGCCTTCTGGGAGTTTACTTCACTGCCCTGATGATCTAGAAATTATTTGTGAATTATAATTTTCCTGTTAACTTCTGCCTGGTTTTGTCTCCGATATGGTCATGTTATTCGTGTGCCCACTAGTGGAAGGTTTATAAACGCTAGCACATGTCGACATGTATTTCTGTAGAGCCGGTTCCTCCTGCCAGTGGGAGTTGTTAAACACTGGTATTTCTGTAAACTTGCTAGTGGGATTATACACTAGTAAATCGTGTGCCTACCAGTGGGAGGTTTATAACACTAGCCATGACCTATATAGGGGATGTCTATTTCATTTCCGTACTCGTACCTATTTTTCATGATTATACTTGTTGGCATGCTATAAGTTTAATTAAGGGCTATCCATATTTACTTACTGACTTATCTTATAGTTTTTCCTTTGTCACTCCCCTCGTTTTTCCCCGTCCTTGACTTCACTTCTTGAAATGGTGACGGGGAAAAACGAGGGGAGTGACAAGTTAGAAGGCTAACCATCTTGTAAATTGAACATAGATTTTAGATATAAATCATGATCTTGTAAGCTAGGCTTAGTTAGAGATTTTATGATATTAGAGCAAATTTTATAATTTTATCTTCAGATTTTATAGTATCAGATTGTGACATGATAAAGTTCCAAGCCTTGTGCATTTGTGGGAACCGTTCACGAGTTTACGACATTTGCCACATCCCCAGATTTGGGTTATGGGGCGTGGCAGTTTAACCCAAATCCCATTTACACCTTAAACCCATCTTAAATGGCCCAATTCCAACCCATCTCAAATGGCCCAAAATAAGCCAAAAAAAAAAAAAAGCACAATACCCAAAAACCCAATTACCAAAAACGAAAAAAAGAAAAGAAAAGAAAAGAGGGTTTGGAATCTTCATGGTCTTCTCATGTGGCTCATTTTTCTATATTGGTTAATCAAAAACATGATCATGCAATTGAAATTGCCGTATTTTTGTGAAGATTGGAAAGCTGTCATAAAGTTAAACTCTCTATTGTTGCTAATCTTTACATTCTTGATACTTGGAAACTGCTTAAAACTCTTGAAATCCATCTTGAATCTTTCTTGAGATTGCTTGTTACTTGTTCTTGAAACTGAAATCCAAAGGAAATGGATAATGATTTTTGAAATCCTCATTATCTTGATACTTGTCTAAAATTAATTCTTGTACTGTTCTTGGAATCTTATCTCGAACCTTGCTTGGAGTAAAGTCATGTTAGCATCCTTTTCTTGAAAATCAATTGATATTTGGTTTTTGGGAATCTATTTTGAATTGTCCTTGAAAACCATTCTTGTCCTGACTCTTGCTCTTACTCAAATTCTGTATACTGCTCTTGCTCAAATCCTGCATATTCTGCTAGTTCTTGTTTTAGTATACCTGTTGATCTTCTTGATTTTTGATTTGTTCATATGGACACCTCTTTAGGAGGGGTGATGATTATTAGAAAATACCTATATGAGGCATCCTAATTCTTGTCTCTTGCAAGTGTTAATCTCTGTATTCTTGATGTCTTAGCTTTGACTTGACTCTAGGATGTCTAGGATGACTTGATTGTAAATCTGCTTAGCCTCCATGGGTTACAAGGTGAAGGGGTAGTCTTTGAAGTACCTGATGCCCTAGAGTTTTGTTCCAAGAGAAATGGTTCTTTTATCTAGCTGTTTTGATTTTGTTTGCCCTTTTAATTAGAAGACAGTAATCTTCTAAGTATCTTGATCCCTACTATTGAGTATTTTATTAATTAATTCGTGTTACTTGGGGTGTTAGATCTTGACATCCTAGTTATATCTGCTCTTGAATTCGTGTTCTAGTTGTCGTTATTGAAATCTCTTTTGTGGGCCTAATCCTTGAATTCTATTGCTTGTTTCATGGTTAATTGTTGTCTCTCAATTTTGATTGCTTGGTTAAATTTGATCTTGATTCTTGCTAAATGCCATTTTGTTGCTGAAATTTTTGAGGCATTCTACCTTGCACTGTTATGTTCCAGTATTCTTCCAAGCATTCATATTTTCCACTATTTTCATTCTGATGCTATTTTGGAAATTTCACTTGTCATTTGATGGGTCTAGCTTTTAACTCTTGCTAATTGCTAAAATCTGTCTCTTGATTCCAATTGTTTTGTTAAACATGATCTTACTTATTGGTTAACCTTGTTTTGTGGCAGTGTATAAGGCATCCATGCACTCATTCATTCATTTATGATTCCTATATCCATTGGATACTTATCCGTCTTTGATAAAGTTCAAAATTTTATTGTACTCATCTTTAAATCCATGCCATTCTTTGCCAACTCATCTTTGTGTTGGGTTCATAGCGTAACCCCACAATTGTTCTTTTGTGGCTTTGGCAGGATTTATTTCTATTCCTTGTGCTTCCCATATCACCCTAGCTTCTAGTAGCTTATTTCATGGTAAATCCTGTTAAGTAGTTAATGTTTTGCTTTTATGATTAGTTGTGGTTTGATATCAGAGTGGCGCAACAGAAGCGTTGTAGGTTATGTTCTGTTCATAAAGAGTTGGTGAGGCATTTGTTTTCTCTTGGCTTGTGTGAAACCATTCACCAATCTAGATGGTCCTCAATTTGAGTTTTGGGGACAAAACTCCTTTTTAAGAGGGGTGAATGCAATATCCCAAATTTTCTGAAATTCTAGCATTTAAGTTAAGGACCTTTGTGTGAGAAAATATTGTTTGCGGCCTAATAGTGAATATTTTGAAACTTGAGGGACTTAAATTTGGAAAAAGTGGATAAGGACCGGGTGATCTTTTTCTTTTCTTTCTTCTTCCTCACCCACATGTTCTGCTCTTCTTTTCCCCTGTAGTTGACCAAGAACCCAACCAAGCCCGACACACCTCCACTTGGAAAACATCGGTAAGAAAAGCTTGATTTTGCCCTTCTTTTCTTGTTTAAGAACCAAATTTGGAGCTTAGAAACCCCATTTCTGTAGAAATTCAGATCGGCTCTGCTCTGTTCTTTTTCGTCGGCTGCTCTTCATTGTTTGGGTGTGAGTTCTTCAAAATTCTGGTAAGCAACAGCCATTAAATTCTCTATTTTTCCTTGAATTGGCTTAGGTTAACTTTGATTTCTCTTGGTTTCTCCAATTTTTGGGTAGATTCCCCCAAAATTTTCTGCACTTCTCATCAGCTCTCACCCCCCAAACCCGTTAGCTCCGACCTTGCTTGCTGAATTCTGGTATGTGACAGCCCCTTTGAGCCTAAAATTATCCTTTAATTGTTGAATTTGTCCATTTAATTATTGTGCTGTCCGAATTTTGTTGAATTAGGGGGATGAATTCCGATAGCTTTGGGATAAAATTTAAGCATTGATTCAAGTGGAATTTATGTGATCGAGTGTTAATTGACTACTATGAGATTTTGGAGAAAAATCCCGTAACATTAGCTATGGTTTTGCCAATTTTTGGAAGTTGCAGTTACTGTTCATTGTGTGTTTACTGTTTACGGTACTGTTCATAGAAACTGTTCATGCACTAATGGCCAACAATTAACAGGGATTAAATGTTTAGTTTGTAATATAAGAACAAATTTGGAGATGTCCGGTCATATAGAGACTAATAGAAAGAGCATCGTGATTAGGGGTGATCTTAATAAAGTTTTCACTTTGAATTTGTGATAGTACGGTATTAATTCTGGGGTATTTTGATTAGGTTCTTGAGTGTTCTGTCACCTGAGTACTTGGCTTGAGTTCCAGATTTGAGGTAAATAAATTGTAGTAACGCCCTTCGATTTCAAAGCATGTTTTAAATTGTTTTTGAGATGGTGGCAAGGTTTAAATTGATTTTATTAGCACCGAGCATGACTGGTTTGAAATGAAATTATTTTCATTTTCATTGAGTAGAGTATGCCTACTTGGAATTTACTTAACTGCCTTGATGATCTGAGAATTTTGTAAATTATAATTTTCTGTTAAATCCATGTCCACATGGAATTTTCTGGTTATTTATGAAATTTGAGATTGATTGTGAATTACGGATTTCCTTTGTAAATCCTGCATGGTTTTGTCTCTGATATGGTCATGTTTTATTGTGCCCGCTAGTGAGAGGTTTATAAACGCTAGCACATGTCAACATGTTTACTGATAGGACAGGTTCATTCTGTAATCCTACCAATGGGATAATACATTGGTTATTACTGAAATCCTGCCAATGGGATAAAACATTGGTTATTACTGTGCCCACCAGTGGGAGGTTTTTAAACGCTGGCCATGACCTATAGATGAGACTACTACTGAATTTTCTTTTGCATTAACGGTTTGTCATTGAACGCTTTGCTATTGAATTGAATTTGATTCTGTATTAATGGCTTATCATTGAACGTTTTGTTATGTTAAACTGTTTATCAAGCATGCTAAAATTTTACTCATGGGCTATCCATATATTTACTTACTGAGTTATCTCTTAGTTTTTCTTGTCCACCATTTTAGGAAGCGAAGTCAAGGACAGGGAAAAACGAGGGGAGTGACGTGTTATAAGGCTAGCCATCTTGTAAATTGAGCATAAATTTTAGATATAAATCATGATCTTGTAAGCTAGACTTTATTTGGAGATTTTATGATATTAGAGCAAATTTTATGATTTTATCTTCATATTTTGGTGGTATCAGATTGTGGTATGATAAGTTCCGAGCCTTGTGCATTTGTGGACCCTCTTACAAGTGTACGACATCTGCCACATCCTCGGATTTGGGTTCTGGGGCGTGATAGTAGGATTCAGGATACCAAGATCTAATAAAATAAATACATTGTGTACTTGAATCTCTATAATCAATATATTACCTAAAGATGACAAAAGTTACAAAACAAATATAGTTAGTATTGGGATTTAGGTCTTTCTTTCTTGTATAGTGACAACCAATGGGTCATGCCGCTCCCTAACTCCCTTATTTCTAAAGGTAGTTTTTTTTTAATAAGAGAGATAACGTAACTTGTTATAATCATCTTTTAGGCACCCTCATCAAGTAGTCCACCTTTAATCAAGTAGTCCACCTATTCATATCACACTATATAAGACTAAGATAAAACCTAGACCCTTTTGGATCATATAGGTTTATTAGGCTTTACTAATTTTCCATTTGACCCAATTTTGAAAACCAAATACAATTAACAGAAGCTCACATAAAATTTCCAACATTTCATTATTACAATTTTGAATAGGATTGGATTATTATCTATAATTTTAGGATTAGAGTTTATAAGTAATTCTAGGTTCTACTTCTTTTCTATATAAAAAGGGCTTTTGGCTATAAAGCAAGGACATTTAGAAAATTCAATGAAAATATTGAAAGCGACAATGAGGTAGTCATGTGATGGGGAAAAGAAAAAACCTAAAAGCTTTTATTTGAAGTTTCAAGTAAATAAAAGCTTGAATGTCAGCCTTCTGACAAATGCATACTTCTCAAATATTAGTTCTTATGTGTGAGAAATAGTATTAGAAGGCTAGTTACAAAGGGGTTTGGAAAAGGTTATAGGAGAGGGGAATGAGACATTGTTTTGGCATGAGAATGGTGTGGGAAGGTTTCTTTTAACGAGAAATTTAATCGATTATTTAGATTGGCAAAGAGTAAGGAGATGTTGGTGAACGAGTCATCTATTTTTTACATGTGTGACTAGTTGGATGATCTGACAGTCTTGTTATGAGTGATGGGGCCTATAATCTATCTTAACGAATGAAGGATGAGGCCATTTGCAATAGCACTTAGGAATGATTTCTAATGGCAGTTCAACGAAAGCATGGTATGTGATCTGTAGATTGTCTTGTGGTCAATCTGGTTGTGGAGAAATCGATTAATCTTTAAAGAAGGGTTTGATTTTATTGATGATGTTAGGCATTGTTTTTGGACCTGGCCCGGTGGTTGGCCCGTTTTGGCCACCGAGTCCGGTTCAACCGGTTGAACTAGTTCACCCGACCGATTCAATCGGTTGACTAAAAAAAAGTAAACAGCTTTTTTTAAAGAGGTGAGCGGAGAGGACGATGACTGGTGAAGGAGAGGACGATGACTGGCAAAGAAGAGGCAGATCTGCTCTGTTGATGGAAGGAGGAGGTAAGCGGCGAAGGGCTGAGATCGGGGAGGTAGTTGTGGAGTCATCGACAGCTGGGATCGGGAAGGCAGTTGACCGACGGTGACTTCGCCTGCTCTATTTCGTTTTAGCCTCTACATCTGGATTTTGCTTCTGCACAAACGAAGGGCTTGCTTTTTGGTTTTGTTTCTGCACTAGGCTGGAAGCCGCCAACGAAGGTGGCTGAGATTGGGCAGGGAAAGGCAGCGGTGGTGACTTTAGTTTTTTTTTGTTTTTTTTTTTTATGGAAGTTTGAGACTTTAGTTTTTTTTTTAATTGATTTTATCTTTTTATTTTTAATTTAAATATATGATTTTTATTGTAATAACATAAGAAAATAGAATAAAATAAGTAAATTATATTAAAATAAAAAATTAATTTAATTAACATTAAAAAAGCTTAATGGACTCAGCCCGGTGGGTTAGGCGTTATGAGCGGGTTTAACGGGTTGGGCGGGTTATGGCGGGTTAGAACGGGTTAATTGGTAAAACGGGCCAAGGTATGCACTCGGCCTGTTTTTAGGCCCACGTCCGGTTCAACCGGTTCAACTGGCCGGGCCCGGCCGGGTCCGAAAACATTGATGTTAGGAACTTAATTAAATTGAGGTCTTTTAATCGGCTAAGAGCTAAGTTTGACAGAGAATTGTCTAAGGACCTTTGGATGTAGGACCCTATGGAAGCATGTAAAAACAAGGAGGCTAGATTGAGATAGGATTGTAAGCAAGGTTGAGATTGAGAGTGATATTGTTGTTGGGCATTATATGTGATGATGTAATGGGTTGGAGTACCCCTTATACTCCTTTTATATTTATATAATGCTATTTTATTAACCCATAAAAAAAATTATTTTTCTTTACTCATGATTTTTTTCCATTATCTGATGTTAAAAGTTATTTTCTTTGAATTGTGTAATACCTAAGGATTTTTTTTTAAGATTTAAATAAATTATTTAAACCCCTAAAGGGTGTATATGTGATAGGATTAAATATGAGGTTTAATTATAATGACATGAGGAGTTCAAGGACTAAGTTGTAAAATTCCTCAAGGACTAGCTAAGTTGTAAAAATTGCTCATGGACTAGGTTGTAAAAGGCCCTTTTGTTAAAAACCTAAATTAGAATTTGTCTAGTGGTTTTTATTTTCTTTAGGGTTTGGAATGTCTTCTTTCTCTCGTCAATAAAGGATCACTACTCAAGGGATCTGGTCATACTAGAGTCAATCTGAGGTAATTTGTCTTGTTAAGCTTAAATTTAGATGATTAAAAGAATTGTGGGGGATGAAATATAAAAGTTTCTCTCAATATTTATTTATTAGGCATTCCTTTGTCTCACAAATTCTCACCAGAAGAAAATGAAAGACACTAATGGGGCTACTATTCTCAAGCATAGTTAGAGGTAATTTATTGTTCATGGTTGATGAAATATTTAGGAATTTTGGAATGAAGAGAATGGGTAGATGCATGGTTGGTGAGATTGATTATACTATAACAAACAGATTTTGGTATTGACATTAAAATTGTGAATTTGGTTTGTGCGGCATGAGGAATTTTCAAGGGGGAATTACTTATTTAGGTGGTTAGTTTCCAATAGTGTGTGTTGGAGTGGTTGGGTTTGAGGAAGAGGACGTCAATGGGCATGGGTTATAGAATTATTTCATTTAGATGCTTAAGAATAAATTTTTACTTGGTGATTGAATTATGTTTACTTGATGTTTATTTAGGTTTTAAATAACTATGTGGTAATTGCATTTTGAAAGATAGTTATTGAGGTAAGTGTCATAACCCGATTTTTCATTTAGTTTATTTAGATTTTTCATAAAATATATATATATTTATATTAATCACAAAATTAATTAAACAAAAATAAAAATAAAAAAAACAAAAATATAAAAATATGAATTTTCTCGTTCCTTTAACTAATATATCTATGCCAATCTACACTCATCACCTCGCCTCTTCCCCGAACCAATCGCCAGCCGATCCTGAACTCATTACCCGTCGATCCTGCACTCATTACCCCACCTGTGCCCCAATCATGCAACCCCCAGCTGTAACCCAATCCTGCGAGCCGATCTTGTACTTGCTCTAGTCGTCTGTTCTCCTTGGCACCTTGTCTTGTTCTTCAGCAAGATGAAGCTCGGTCCTTTGCTTTGGTAGGTATAAATAGACGGTTTTGGTTAGAAGGCTGGGGGTATTTGGCTTGTTTGAATGTGGTGTGGTG